TTTTCTTTTTTTTTCTTCTTCCTTCCTTTTTTTTCTTTTTGGGAGGCTTTTGTTAATTTTTTTTTCTTTTCATTTTTGCAAAATGCGCCCACTTTTTTTTAAATCAATGAACTTTTCTCAAATTTGTGATGTTTTTTCTCAAAATCTATGAACTTTTTTTAAATCAATACATTTTTTCCAAATAGAAGAATTTATTTTCAAAATCAATGAACTTCTTATTTGTGTAATATTTTCCAATTTTCTGAACTATTTTGAAGAAACAACCATTTTTAATAAATCCATGAATTTATATTCAAAATCAAAAAAAAGGAGGCCGGCTTTTTCCTGGACCAACCAGCACAACACAGCCGGAAATAAAAACAAAACGTGAGTTGATCGGTGAAGGGAAACGGGAGTGAGCGAGGGAGCAATGCTTGATCGACCGTTGCCATTTGCGTGAGCGCCCGATCTCCTAATTGGCGATGAAGGCGCTGCTTAGGAGTTCCACTGGTACAAGAAACTAAGAGCGAGCTAGCTGAGTTAATGGGCTGGCCTAATATGCTCGCGCTTCAGGCGAGACGAGAGCTATACTCGCTATAAGCGAGATATAGCTCTACGCAGTTTTTGGGAGACCTCTTCAGAAGAGGTGAGGAGAAAAGGTTTATCCGCTAGTACCGCAAAAATAAAAGTAATTTTGGGAGAAGCGGGGTTCGCTCTCTGTGAGCCAACTTTCGTACTCGAACTTTAGAGTATAACCACTAGACCTAAGCCACTTTCTTGTCAAACTTAAGGGAAAAAACTCAATTTGACCCTTCTTTTAGTACAACATTAACATGTAATACCTTCACTCCTAAATATAAGAGTAGGATATATACCAAGTCTATATGCCCTTCTTATATTTAGGAATGGAGGTAGTAGGATATATACCAAGTCTATTATGCATATTATTATATGATAAAAAGGAATTCACAAATAAATATTTGAACTTCAACAAAGTTCATAATTTTCAAAAGGACCATTCAAATTGAAAATATGTTATGAACTTGAGAAACGTTCGCAAATTTAGAAAAAGTTCATGAAATTGGAAAAGGTTAATGAAAAATAGAATTCAACCGTCAACTTCCATAAAAACATATTTGAAAAAAGGGGGAATTCAAGAATGTTCGCAAAAAAATAAAAAAAAAAGTTCACAGAATTGGAAGAAAAGTTCATCGATTTAAAAAAAATCATAAATTTTGGAGAAAAAAATTCACGGACTTGAGAAGGCTCATCAATTTTGGGAAAAGTTTCATTGATTATTTTAGAAAAAGCATCGACTTTGCAAAAAAGTTCAATGATTTCGAAAAATATTTCAGTGATTTTGAAAAAAGTTCACATATTAGAAGAAAATTCATCGAATTGGAAAAAATCATATTTTTATAAAAAAGTTAACAGATTTTGAAAAAAAGTTCACGAATTTAAGAAAAATCATCCCGAAAACCAAAAAAGAAAATGAAAAAACGACCAGAAGCTTCCCAAAACCGGCGGAAGCTTCTAGAAGCTTCACAAAACTAGTTGGTTCTCTTCTCAAATAACAAACCATGTCCCTGGTCGATTTCACGTGTGTGCGGTCGAGAAGAAAAAACCTACATGGGTCAGGCCAGTTAGCTACCTATGTGGGACGGGGGGTGCGCCTATTTGACGAAACGATTTTAATTGGCGCGGCGGGTGCCAAATAGGATTCAGGAGTTTTTGGTTTGGGTGGCTTTTGGGCAGGGCATGTCCTAACCTCAGCCTTTTGGCCAGTCAGGCCGTAGCCTGTGGGCCTTTTGGACATCTAATTATACATGTACTTAATTACTGTGACGGCGAAGAGCTACAAGGATCAGGCGAGCCAGAAAAAGAAATCATGGGTGAAAGAGTGACAACATCGTTGATCCAGTCTAATTGCAGTTAATTTACGTAAGATTTTAAAGTATTTGTTCGAGCAAATATTGATACCGTGAAGGTGTTTACAAGAGATTTCATTGTAACTTTTAGTCATAGGAGTTACTCATATTTTCTTAGATCTTAGATCCAAATCAGTGTATTTGTAATTGTTATGAGTATGAATAAAGTTAGAAGTGTTTCTCAAAAAAATATTGTATTCTACTAAATAGGCATGGGTAGCTACGATTTGACTATGAACGACACACAACGGCGGACGGCTGACGTCAATCGGTCATCAATTTCAACTAAGATGCCTAGTGTACAACGAATTTAGAGACCCTAATTTTAAGTTCTATTATTAGTGCGAAAACAGTTTTTCATTTTTCTTTACACTTTTTATATATAATTTGTATTTGTCCCAGTATTTAACAAATACATTTTCATCGCTACTTATATATATGCACACACATTCATTTATATATGTTTGATATTCTATAATAAAGGTTGCAAAACACATTTTTATTTAATATAGTACAGGCCCAAAAATTTATGTCAAGCCAAAGCGGTTAATTAGAGTAATTTTAATTCCACATTTGTTCTTTTTTCATTTCACTCGTATTTGTAGTGTCTGTCTAATTAGTATTATTTCTCTTTGGCCATTGACGCTTTTAGTCCAATTTCATCGAGCTCCATTCTTTTTCGGCCAAACTCAAACCATTATTTATTTTATGCATTACAACTCAATAAAATATTAAAACAAACAAAAACTGTTGTCAAAGTCGAAAAGTACATTACTGCATTTAATTTTTATTAATTTATACTAAACATTTTTAATCCTTTGCATTTCACTATCATGATCTTTTTAATATATATAATTGAATATATGTTTTATTACATTATTTAGTCATATTTAATACACAATTCCATTGATACTAATAATATCAATTTTTATTGTTTACAACTTAAACATCTATAATCACAAACACAACAATGTTGTATGTTGTGAAAATGTATTGTTTGTTCATCTATTTTTAGTTTGTACGTTTGGTAAATCAAATTTTTTCTAAACGTAAGCAAAGTATAAAATATCATAAAAATCATTTCCATCCATAGAACAATTTTTGTTACTTTTTTTACATCATTTTGTGCTACTTAAATACAAATCATAGTATCTTGGTAGAGGCTTCTATAATGCACACGTCTAGCAGATATTTTAATATAAAGTACATAGAATATAATAGTGTTGCTTTGTCTTAACTAATAGAAAATTCTCATCAAAAAAAACTATTAGAAAAATCTTGAATATATAAGGGCGTCCACACGTCAGCATTTTCTGGTCACTATAGCTCAGGTAGCCCCTGCCAAGTACAGCGAGGCAAACATCGGTCTTTGTAACTTCGATATGTTTTTCAAACGGTGAGCTGCCTGATAGGTGGGATCCACATGCACATCCATGTTGGCCCTAATGTGCCATGGGATGTTCAAATTGGTAAGGAGAAGTTGGTCGGTGAGAGCTTGGTTAGTTGATGAGATTTGGGGGCAATCCATCTCATGTCAGGTCATACATCATCTGACCGGTTCAAACTTTTGTCACTTGCTTTCTGAAAGAAGTGGTTCCCGTTGAGATGTCCATCATCACCATATACTTCCACGCAAAATAAAAATCACCATATCTATATCTATACCTACTATTAAAGGGAATAGTCTTGGTTTGGTTTAGTCATTTTCGTTTGGTTTACACATGCTAAGCGATTTGGGCAAGGTACTTGTATGTTGATGGGCTTTTTATGGGCTTTCACAGAGACCGCGAAAAATAATTGGATCAAAATAAATCAACATTGTGAGAATTGAACATAGGATCTCCTGTCTAGCTTTTCGATATAACAACCAATGACCTATGCGCCTTTCATATTTACTAATCCCAACCCGCTCTAAATATACGAGTGACAGTCATCATGTTTAGGACGAGCTAATTATGCAAATGAGCTAATAAAGGAAGGATTGTGGGCTTAAATATAATATTTACACGAATGTGGCTAATTAAACAAAGGATTATGGGTAAACCGGTGAAATAACTAAAAGAAAGATTGTGATTTTAATAAATTCTACATGAAGAATTTGAGGTAAAAAGGTAGAATAATTAAAAGGAAGGATATAGAGGCTTCAATGTGTTGGGGCTACTAAATTAGAAATTGAAGGATTTAATTCCCGACTAAAACGGGTGATGATGTCATGGTAATTAATGAAAGGATTATACTTAACTGCCATTAAATATACTTAAATGAAATCAGTGGGAGATTATGCCCGGCAAAGAAAATATGAACACGGCTAAATTGCAACATATTTTTTTATGTTCATTTTGTAGAAGGATTTTGTGTTGCAGCATGTTTTTATAGTGAATCCGGTGATGTGGGACATTATGGTTACACAAAGCATCATTTTTTCTCGTTACAACGCATGGGCATATGTGCTAGTAGTGTTTCAAATTAATAAAGAGAAGTTCAATCAAACATAATGATCTGAAGATTAACAAGTCAGAATTCGGAGGTGATAAATAGATTTGCCGTTTTCATAGGTCCCATCAACACAGCAATCTCATGTCATGGGCTCTAAAGACATTTATTTGTTTCTAAGAAACACGTATACCAAACTAAAAGCTCGAAATGCCTCGATGAGCTCTCTGCTACCATAACTTCAGGGCATAGAATCCCTTGAATCATAAAGAGAGTCTCTGTGCTACCATAACTTCTATCTAAAGGAGCAGTCCCCATTGCGATGTCCATCATTACCATATTGTTTTCAGATTAATATAAAGAGAAGCTCAATCAAACAGAGTGGTCAACAGTCAAAATTCTGGTAGGCAATGAGCCTGACAGATATGCCATTTTCATAGGTCCCGTCAACCAAACAAATCTCATGTGTTGGGCACTAAAGTTTTTTATTTGATTCTCTACTAGAGAACCAAAAGAAACATATATCAAACTATCCTACCATAATAACTTCAGGGTGTAGAATCCCTTATAAATAATAAGAATGGATAAATTTGCAGTGGTCTAATCAACTGTTCATCCCCATCAAAAGTCTCACGCCCCACCAGTCTTTAGCTTCGCTTCCTCCCTATCAATCTCCTCGAGCGCGTTCCACAGTTTCTGGTCTTCATAGTCACTGATGATCAATGCGGCCCCAGCTTCCTGTAGGGACTTCTCCGGGTTCCTCGTCGAGACGGCGACGACGGGCATTCCCGCGGCAACACCTGCGCGTGTCCCTGAAGCGGAATCCTGCATTCAAAGCATATATTGGTATGATGTATCTGTAAATCCAATCAGATATTAGACGGCGAGTTCAACGGATACATATGCAAGGGTATGCGTACCTCGAAGATGAAGGTGTGTGCTGCGGACACTTCGAGCTCCTTGAGGGCCTTCAGGTATGGAAAGGGGGCGGGTTTTGGCTTCTCACATTCGCCTCCAACAATGACAGCCTGGAAGAAGTCTGATAGACCAAGAAGTTTGATCATGAGCTCTGCATTGATCCTTGGGGCATTGGTTACTGCGGCACGCTTGTAGCCGTGATCTTTCACCCACTGAACCACTTTGTGAAGGCCCTTTACAGGCTCTAGGCGCTCCATCGCCAAACTGTAACAAACAAGGGACTATAAATATTTATCCTCACCAAGTCATACTAGCCAACTAGTGAACTAGTGGTTCTCAAGAGAATTTTTAAAAATAAGAGAAAAACATTAACAGTGAGAAAAGCCCATTAAGAAATAACAGAACCATCGACAACCTGACATAAAACCAACTGCTCATTAAAAAAATATATAAAGTACTTCCCACTTGGTGTACCTTCTGTATTTGACGTCTTTGTCCTCTAGGAATTTCAGCCCCTTTTCGAGGGGCCAGTCTGGGAACAAATTCTGGGCAGCTTCAGCATCGCTTCTTCCAGCGATGTTGTTTATGAAGAACTCGTCGTCAATAGGCACACCATTGTTGTACCCAATCTGTTTACATCCATTAGCCCAGTCAGCTTGTTCGCGAAACTAATAAAGAATAATAAATATCACGCATCGTAAAGCTTCTTACCGCAAGAAGCAATTCTTGGAAAGCGATGTGATGAAGAGGATCCGAGTCGCACAAGGTACCATCAATGTCAAACAAAACCGCCTCAACTGGAACGGCCGCTGCAAGAGGACTACGAAGTATGGAAAACAGTTAGAGTTCAGCAGTCAAATCTTCGTAGCTGCTGACGATGTATGAAGTGCAAATAATTGATTTCAATGAATGATATTTAAGCAACCCAGTACTGAAAATCCAGAAAATACAGGCAAACAGGGTCTTTTTTCTCTGCCATATACATGGGAGCCATGGATGTCTAAGTCTGCAAGCGCCGATACCAAAGGTATTACAAACCGCAGATATTTCAAAGTAGCTGCTCACGGAGAATTGACAAGAGCACTCATGAAGCAGACAGGCATTTATCATGGGCGCGGAGATCTAGCGACAAGACACTGATGCAGCGGAAGACATATTTAGCAAAAGTGGGTCACTAATCAAATACCAGTATTATTCCGCGAAAAAAACAGGACAGAGAACTTCAATCTACTGCATGCCTTTCTTGCTCGCAGACTTCAGGATTCTATACCGTTCGACTGCTCTTCAGTTTCGTGTGGATATGGCTGACAGGCATTTGGTTGCTTCACAATTCTAGCTATGCCTCCCAAAAGTGTCAGCCTAGCTACCCACCTTGACATGTATGAGCAGAGCAGGTTGTTACGAATAGCTAAACTACGCATGTGTAGACCATAAAAGAAGTTTTCTGAATAATACTGGAGTCTCCTAAGAACTTTCAGAAGGGAAAGGAAAAAAAAACCTGCCTTGACATGTCTGAGCAGCGCAAGGTCGTTACGAATAAATAAACTATACAACTATAGACCACGAAGGAAGTTTTCTGAATGATACTGGAGTCTCCGAAGAACTTTCAGAAGGGAAAGAAAAAAAGAACGCTGGTTCAGTCAGACACGTGGGCGCGCATCAGCCAGGCCGGCCGCTCAGGCACGGGTGGCATCACGAGGGAGCAGAGACAGTTGGGGGGGAAGCATGTATGACGGACGGGTCGAGAAAACCATGGCCGGAATCCGAGCCGTCAGCTGGCCTGATTTGGGACAATCAGCTGCGCGCTGGCGGGGATCGATTGATGGTCTGTGCTGCGGCGGGCGGGCGGCCTATTTTTCTAATCTGGTGCGCGCGCGCGAGCACCGAGGAGCGATCGCCTCCCTCGGCCGGCCGGCCCGACGGATCGAGGAAGAGAATTGGTACCAATCAGGAAAAGGAGACCGGGTTGGGGTGGTGGAGAAAGCCAGTACGTACCTGACAAAGCCGCCATTGGTGGAAGCCATGGCGCGGGTGGTGGGTTGGTGGGCGAGAGATCGCGGCCGCCTCCGTGCGCGCGCTCGTTCTCGAAGGTTGTTGTGGAGTGGAGGACTCTCGCGGCAGCAGGCAGGCAGGAGGAGGAATTTGGGAATCTGGGCGAGGGGCGGTGGCTCGTCTTATAGCACGGACGGCGGTGGATCCGGGCCGCTGCCTGTCGTGCCGCTCCACTTGTCCTCCTATTTTTTTCCCTTCGCAACCTGCAGGTGGGGCCCACATGATTTTACATAATAGTGGTAAAAGACAGGAAACAGAATTATGGTTGCAACAACGTTACTGTTCCTTGGGGACAAAAAAATGTTAGCCAATGAAAAACGATTTTGCTTGCTGGAAGAGATATATGAAAACGAATTCTCTTGCTGGAAGAGATTTCAGTTGGGCGAATATGGCTGCCAAGAGACCGAATATGCCGTCTTGCACTTGTCATGTTCCTTTTCCCCTTTGTCTTTCCACAGATCCGAACGCCAGCCCGCTCGCTCCCCACACAAGCAAAGCAAACACCACCGCCCGTCCACGTTCCAGGGAACAAATACCTCTTAGCGGCTTGCAGCAGACGCCCGTCGCTCTCGCCTCTCCCTGCCTTGCCGACACCACGGCCCGCTGGCTGACGCGATCACCGTCACCGTCTTCACTTGTCACGTCACATCGCCGGCCAGATCAGTTGAGCAGAGCACAGCACCCAGCCGGAGCCGGGCACCTTCTCCATCCTCAATCCACTGGCAAGAGCTGGATTACAAGCACCTCAGACCACTGCCACCGACCCACCTCCGAACGTGTTTTCCGGCTTATTCCACCGCCTGCTCATCAGCCAGCAGTCAGTCACCCTCGTCTCTCTTCTCCGCTGCCGCAGCAATGCCGGCCCTGACATGGCATGACGACAGAGGAACACACACGCACGCAGCTCCTCATGTCACGCCCTCACTTCCCTGCGCTTGGCCTCCTCAAACGGCACCTTCAGGCGCGCGCCCATCTCGCCCAGCATCGACAGCACCACGCCATCATCCCGTCTTCCAACCGAGCCGCCGTCCTCGGCACCAACGCGGGGCTCTGACTCGCCGCCTCCTACCAGGCTCAGCCCCGCGTCCTTCTCAGCGCCGTTCTGCTTCATCGCCTCCCTCACTTTCTCGACGTCGTCCCACCTCCCTTCCGCCGCGTAGATGTTCGACAGCAGCACGTACGGGCCAACCTCCGCCGGCTTCATCTCGATCAGCTTCTTCCCCACAAACTCCCCGAGCTTGGAGCCGTTCTGCGCCCGAGAGGCTGAAGAAACCATGGCGCCCCACAACGCCAGGGACGCCTTGCCTTGTAAATTCTGGACGAGGTTCTCCGAGCCTGTGAGCAGCCCTGCGCGAGCAAGGAGGTCCATCATGCAGCCGAAATGCTCGGCCTTGGGCTCGACGCCGTACTGCCTGACCATCCTGTCGAAGCACCACCAGCCCTCGAGCACCAGCCTGCCATGGGCGCAGGAGCTCAGGACGCAGACGAAGGTCGTCTCGTTCGGCCCAGGCCCGCCCCTCTCCATCTCCAGGAACAGCTCGAGCGCCTTCTCGCTCTGCCCGTGCAGCCCGTAGCCGATGATCATCGAGTTCCACGACGGGACGCTCCTCTCGCCCATCGAGTCGAAGATCTCCCTCGCCATCTCCATCACCCCGCACTTGGCGTACATCGTCAGCAGCGCCGTGAGCAGGAGGACGTCCGGCACGAGCCTCTCCCACCTCTGCCGGACCAGGCCGTGCACCCACTTGCCCCTCTCGAGGTCGCCCAGGCTGCTGCAGGCCGTCAGGACGCTCACGAAGGTCTTTTCGTTCGGCACGGCGGCCCCCACGGCCATCATCGCGTCAAACAGCCTCAGGCACTCCCGCCAGTCCTTCACCCGCGCGTACAGCGCCAGGACGACGTTCCAGGACACGGCGCTCCTCCTCGGCATGCCGTCGAACACGGCCCTCGCCGCTGCCACGTCCCCAGCCTGCGCGTACCCGTCCAGCATCGAGTTCCACGACACGACATCCCACTCCGGCATCGCGTCGAACACCCTCCTGGCCTCCTCCATGTCTCCGAGGCGGGTGTACCCGGCCAGCATTGAGTTCCAGGAGACCACGTCCCTCTCGGGCATTTGATCGAACAGCTGCCTGGCGCCGGCCATGTCCCCGGCCGCGGCGTGGCCGGACAGCATGGAGTTGTAGGAGACGAGGTCGCGCTCGGGCATTTGGTCGAACAGCTGGCGGGCGGAGGGGAGGAGACCGGAGCGGAGGCAGGCGCGGAGGAGCGTGTTCCAGGTGACGGCGTCGGGGCGCGGGATGTCGGCGAAGAGGCGGCGCGCGGAGGCGTGGGAGCCGATGGCGAGGTAGCGCGCCAGGAGCGAGTTGGCGAGGCGGAGGTCGGCGGGCAGGTGGCCCGCGCGGACGGCGAGCGCGTGGAGGGAGGAG